TATTATACCCCCTATTTATTTTAGTTAGGCTATAATAAGAGATATTACTAAACTTTATTATAGGCTTATTTATATTAATTACGCTAATTAAGAGGCGCCCTTACGACGTAATACTCGTTATAATAAACCGATTTATAAAATATAATATTTATATTATTATAAGGACGACCTTTATAGCTTAGGGATTTACGGACCTCTTATTTATAAAGATTTTTATCCCCCTAACGGAGCAATCCGCCGGGGCCGTACTATATATTACGTATTAGAAAAAACTAAGTATATTGCGCTCTATACTTAATTACTAATTAAAATAGTTCTTAACCTTCCGCTACCTACCTATAGGGCGAGCTTTACTTACTCTAACGCGCACAGGACCTCTTAATACTAGCCTACGTAAATAACTAAGTCTAGTATAATTTATTCTTTTATATAAGTATTATTATTACCCGGGGGGTCCTATAGGAGCTATTTAAAGTACTAGTTTATTACCCTAACTCTATATACTTCCGGCCCGTCTATTATAGTTATTATAACTAAGCTAGCGTCGATATACTAAATCTTAGTATTTATACCGGCCCGGCTATTTATAGTACTTATAATATTACTTAGCTAAATTCCGTACTTCTAGAAGGTACTTTATTATTTCTTAAGCGTGCTTATGTTAGTTACGATAGCTATAGCGTCGAGCTAGCCGAGGGCGCCTAGCCCGAGAGGGGTAGACTTATTAACGGGCATTTTTAGAGTAAGTTCTTATTAAAGTAGTATTTTAACTAGCTAACTTCTTAACTAGTTATCTAACTAGCTATCTAAGTAGTAGTTTATATATTAATAAGTTTATTTAGTAGATTTATTTAGTAAATTTATTTAGTAGATTTGTTTAGTAAATTTATTTAGTAAATTTATTTAGTTTAAATAGAGAGTAGCTTTAGGTAATATTAGAAGCGATAAGGATAAAAAGAATTTTTATAAGCTTTAGTACGAAGAGTAGTAAATATTGGCCTATTTAGCCCTTTTTTTAAAAACCTTTACGTCGTTATTAAAATTTAGAACTTTTATAGTTAAGGGCCGCCTCTAACTATTACGGCCGACTATTATAGCTAACTATTATAGCTAACTATTACGGCCGACCTTTACTATTAACCTTTTTAATTAGCGCCGCTGCGTAAGTATATTACTTAGCTTATTATTAATAAGTAGTAGGGCAGCTTACTTATCCCAAATTAAATAGCGGTTTTTATATTAAAATTATTATATTACGTTAAGCGCGTACTTAGGATATATTACGCATATTATATAGTTAAAAAATATACTATATTATATAATTTCTTTTAAAAGCGTGATCTTATTAAGGTCGATCTTTTATACTTATAAAGCTAAAAAAAAAAACCACTATATAAAGATTTTTATAAAGTTTAAAATACTTAAAAAGATCGTTTTTAATAGGGGCTCGTTATTTATAAATAAGTTTTAAACTTATTTTTATTACTTTTTAATAATAAAGAGGCGTCTTAGTACTACGTTTTATTTATAAATAAATAGTTAAATAAAATAGTAAAACTAATACTTAGAGTAATACTTTTGCTACTTTTATACTTAAAACTAATTAAATTAAATATAGCGTTTTTATTTAACTAAGTTTATATATAATAACGCTTAGTACTTAGTAATTTATAAAACGCTTATTAAGGCCCTATTTAAGTTCTTATTTATTTATTTTATATTAAGCTTAATAAAAACTCGAAATAGTATATAAAATATCTTAATTAAGGAGCGTATAGCCCGATTACGAGCTAATTAAAAAACTTTATAACTCCTTATATAAAAAGTACGTAAAACGTATAAATAATAAGCTAATAAAACTAAAATAAATATATTATATAAAATAAGTAACTAAGTATTATTATTAGAGAAGAATATTAAGAAGTAGTACCCTAGTTAGAAGTTAGTTAATAAGTATTTAGGCCTATTTAAAGTTAAATTAATAGTTAAAACGGCGGGGGTAGCTTATTAATTAAATATATTAACGTAATATAAAATATATAATATATTCTATATATTCTTATTTAAGCCGTATTAATATTATAAAAAAGCCCCTTAGAAACCCTTATTTATTAAGGATATAAACGAGGAGTTATTATATAAAATAGAGGATATTATATAATATAAAGAGCTAAAAAAAAGGTAATAATACTTAATTTAATAAAAGGGATATAATAATAATAAAAATATATAAGAGCTAGCTAAGTATATCGAAAACGTAATATTAATTAGTATATATAAAAAACGAGTTTTAATTAAGTAGCGCGCCCTAGTTTTTAATAAGCTTAATAACGTAGCAAACTAATTATTAATAATAAAAAAGGGGGCTATATAGTTATAATTAAATAATATAAACGTATTAATTACAAACGGTTTTTTTATTTTTTATAACCTATAAGAGGGCTACTTTTACGTATAGAGGGACTACCCTTATTTTTATTCTCGGGATTATTAAAAAAGAAATAGTTACTTTATTATTAACGAATTTATAAATAATTAACTACGAATACGGAGCATAAATAGGGTAATTATACTCTTTTTAAAATATTATTTAAACGGCGTACTTCGTTATAAATAGTATATAATAATATAATTATTATGTTATTATAAAATAAAAACGTAGTATAAAAGGAGCTTATAACTACTTTATTCTTATCGTTATTAATAATAGGGGTAGAATAGGCCTCTTTATTAGTACGCTTAAGCGCCCTCTATATATTATTAATAATAATTTTATAAATCTACTAGAGCTATAAAATAATATTAATTACTTAAATAATAATAATAATAAAATAATAATAGAGTAATAAACCTCTGAATTATAAATATTATTATTTAAAATAAGAGCGGTATTCTAAAGGGTTCGTATTATAAATTCCGTAAACTTAAGGACTTAAAATATTATTAATTAATATATAAAAAAAGTAACGGAATAATAATAACGCTAAGCACTTACTATATCTTTATAAGAATAGTTTTATATAATATATTTTATATAATATATATTAAATTTTAAAAAAGTATTAAATAAAAGAGCGAACTAGGGGTTATAAATTACTAACCTAGCTAATTATAATACTTAATTTTCAAATTAAGCGCCTTATATATAATATAAATAGGGTAAGGGAGTAGGCGTACTTAGTTAATTATAATCTTTTTAATATTCGCTTTTTTTTTTTTTAATAAGAGTTTATAATAATTAGTATAAGTAGTATATAAGTAGTAATATATATACGAGGTTAAGGTAAGTAAAGGGGATATTAGGCTTTTTAAATAAACAGCTACTATTACTATTACTAAGCATACCTATAGTACTAATAACTAGTCCGCTATTAATTATAATAACGTTATTAAAAAGAGCTATATTTAAATTAAAATAGAATTAATAATAAATATAGTATAACTTTAAAAAAAACTAACTTAGACACGGGGAGTATAAGAGATTAAGGGATCTAAAAAATATTCGTTAGTTATAAGATCTACGTAACGAGGAAGTAATATAAATATTAATAAAAACGAGAGACTATATATAATTAGAATAACTACGAATAAAAAGAAAAAAGAAATTAAAAATTATAGTAACTTAAAAAGGGGTTAATATTAATAAATAAAAGTAGGGTAACGACTACCTAAGTATTAGTAATTATAAAAAACGGACCGGGCGCCTAATATCGCTATTAATAATCCGTGATTATAAACTTTGCAAGAGGGAAAGTTCAAAAAGGTAAAAAATCTAAAAAAAATAGTCTAACAAGACAGTGGGAGTATCTACTAATACTATATATTATTACTATATAACCGATATCGAGAATCGCCCGAGTAGCTAGTAAAAGTAAAAATAAAAAATAAATAAAAAACGGACTATAAATAAGAGCGACTTAAGTATAGAATTATAGAGCTAATTAAACTTATTATTTAAAATAAGGGGTTTATACTTAGGTTAATAAGTACTATTTTTACTTACTTTCGTACTATATATTAAAAAACTTTATAAATAAAAAATTAATATAATATATATAAACTATAAATAGCTTTTAGAACGAAGCCTAGGGGAGGGAGTACTTTATTAAACCTTATTAATTAGACCTTATTAATTAAAAAATAGCTTAAAGAGTATAAAAAGGGGGATTAAATAATAAAAGAGTAGCTTAGGTATATATAAAGTACTAATAATATACTTTAAGGGAAGGGTAGATTTTAATAATTTATTTTTTAAACCCTAATAGTAGTTAGCCTTTATAAGCTTCTTCCCTGTGTTATATACTTATTAATACACAACGTTGCCGTATTCTGCGTGGAGCTTATCGAGCCAGCCGACAGCATCGCCATTCACGAAGTGGTATACATAAACCAGTCGGGTAATAGCTGCCAGTCGCGGGCCTAGGTATCTTGCCAGTGGATGGAAAATAAGGTTGTAAACGGCGCGCAATATCGCAACTATCACGAGCCACGACGTAATCACAAGGCAAAACAGCCCGGCTAATAATAAAAATAATAACATCTTAAAAGAAAGACTCCTTTGTACAACAAGAATATGATGAAAATCTGATGGTCCCGGTGTAATGCTTCGGCTCTTCGGCCGAAGAAGTCTCACCCGAGTCGAATTCATATATCGCGAGACTCCGTCGGTTGAGGCGGGCCGGCGTTTTGAGGTGACGGAGGGCAGGGGCTGGGACCTGACATTAAGACGGCAGCAAAAAGCGCACAAATCTGCCCGGCCTTGGTTCCCCGCTCAACCCCTATCCCCTGCACCTGGGACAGTTGTCTAGTCATATCATATTGTGCTTTCACGCCACTGCTTGCCTCGTACCAGACTATGACAAGCTCGGTACTAAAGTGGGCATAAGTATGCTCCGTGACGCCTCTCATTGAAGATGGCACTAATGATCCCATCTTTGGACAAACTCCTGTAACACGCAATCGCTTCCGCATTTTTATCCTTCCAGTTATCATTGACAATCATGGCAGCAGTCACTGCTTTCTTCGAGAGAACTGATCTCCACAAAACGGCGAAGCCGTACTCCTGGGATGGCCCTGACGGGCAGTCGTTCCCCAAGTCGAATTTCGTCATGAAGGACATGGAAGTAAGCTTCAGGCAGATTTTGTTGGAAAAAAAGACCGACGATGTTGACGAGTGTGCAATTCAAGCTTAATCTGACCGACATACGAACGCTGCCAGATTTCAAGCCTACTATTGAGGAGAACGGCTTCTGTTTCCTCGAGAACAAGTCCAAAGAGCTCTCGAAAATGACTGGAGCGGATGACTGTAAACCTTACTTGGAAGAGATGGCTCAATTTTTGTACGTTTGCACCATAGCTGCGCAACCAAAGAAGACGCTGATGATTTGCAGAAAATCTCGATTTGGTACAGATGAGATTTTCCCCATCAATGCCAATGTTAGTGACTACTCTAGTTTGGATTACAGAAGCCTTCATTAGGTGGCAATATCGTACTTGCTAATCACACTTGACCTAAAATCAGTTTCGAGATGCACGTTCGCAAGGAGGCCGCACGGGACACCTTCCTTTCGCCCACTTGGGTAAGAGAATCTTCATTATTTCGTCGGCACATTGTTCGTTTCTACCGCTAATTCGAATTATGGCTGCAGATAATACCGTGGCCAGTTCTTGGAGCAGAATATCGCTGTTCTTGACCAAGGAAGAACGGCAACGCGTTCTCTCAGGCCAGAGTCGGGCGAGAATTATCAAGTATGCAGCGACCAAAACTCTTCCTCGGCTTCGCTGTGATTGACATTTTTGTTTAGTATTTGGCGCCCGATGTTCAATCATGCCGAGGACATTCCCTTCGCCGTGTGCGATCCAAGGACTAACATCGATCTCGCCGATGTTGTCTCGGTTGACCGCATCACCCACGAAGCAGCCAAGGAAGTTGCCTACTTTTCCTGGAATCCTGCCCACAGATGGTACTGGATGAGCAACCAGACCCCTGACGAGATTGTTATCATGACACAGTACGACACCCACCCGCCAGGTGGCTTTTTCAACAGTAAGTTGCCGATCATCAATTGGCGCGAGCATATCACCGCCCGCCAAGTGGTGACCGAGACTGGCCTAGTCGACCAATGGACAAGAAACCTTAACTAATGAGCTCCGCACATAGTTGTACCCCATGCTGCATTTCGAAATGGAGCGGCTCGGCCCGGCTGCCCAACGCGGTACAGTGTTGAGGCAAGATTCATTGTACTGGAGCCCGCGCCGTATCAGAAGGATGGGCCTGGTCCTAATGGTCCATTCCCAGAAGAAAGTCGACTTCAGCCGTGGAAGAAGTGGGTTACACCGCCTAAGCCGAAGGCTGTCCCAGCCCCCATCGCTGATGCAAGGCCAATGTACTTCTAACTTGACGGCGCGAATTGTAAGCGTGTGCCTCGCTTTGTCTGGAGAACGAATGCGCTCCTGCGCTCGGTAGTGTCATAGCTCAGAAATAAGAATACTTGGCATGAGGCATGGAGCTCTCCACTGAATGCAACCAGGGTCTCAAACGTTAGATCCCTAGTTTCCTAGTCGAGGTACAGATACAAACACGTCAGCTGGGACCCTGAACTTTATTCTCGTCCCGACGTGGTGGAACTGTCAGCATCTAATCGGGTACTCCGTCTTGGGGTATGATTCTACTGTACAAATGACGTGCGGCGAATGCCGTAAAGCTCCGCAAATGTAGTCGGCAAATCTTCATTAACCGCTCTTCCCAGGAAATTCTGTAATCTTATGTTAGAGGGCCGTGCTCTCACCTGCGTCCTTGTGAGCTTTCAGACACGGAGTGCCGGCCGGAAGAAAGTCCCGTATCCGCGGGATTCACGGTGACCGGAAGCATCTTACATGTCGAATGTGAATCGTGAGCTATCAGAACTAAGAAGAAAACCCCGGTGCAAATTTCTGAATGGTAACCTCCTTGCCTGAATCACCGGCGACCGGCCGAGAGCGGCGCGTCAATGGACCCCGGGTGTCATTACACATGTATCCGTAGTCGAGAGTATCCGTACAATGGCCCGAACCGGACTTGCTACTGAAGCTCATGACTCAAGAGGACAGAGCGCTTGGCTCCGGGAGACCGGATTGATTGTGGGGGATAAGTGTTCACCAAGCCCTTCGATACCCGGCCGAGACATGGATGGTCGGCAACGTCGACCGCTTGGCGCTAACCCGATATAACTGACTAGTACGGATACTACGCAGTAAGGGACTAAAATACGAATCCGACGTTACGAGGCACGCCTGCAAAGTCTATTTCAACTCAAGTTCGTTGTACGAATAAGTATAATTTCGCCTAACTCTATCGACACTCCTATTTACCCAAACGATAGGCATTACCGAGGTAGTCATTCTACCTCGCTATTATTCAGACCCGCATACGCACATAAAGTTAGACTTTAAGAATTTCCTATCACTAATCTTCGCAAGTAGAACTTTGATCGGAGGTGGAGAGGACTTCTAAATCTAGACCGGCGGGTGAAGCGGTGAACATCAACAAGCAAGGTCATGCAACATCTTTCCAGCACAGAAAAGTTCACCACTTGAACCGAAAATGTAACTTCTCGTCAGAAAGCCACGTAATGCAGCCTGGGCAAAAACGGGGGTCTTTCACTGCGACATTGTGAGCAAAGTCATGAACCCAAGCCGGCTACGGCAACTTTTACGATGCCTAAGGTGGGGTCTATGTGTGCATATACAGTGCGGATAACACAGAATATATCGATGCAGTGCATAGTAGGTTTGAGCTGAACCTCCTGAGTATTATCCATTGCTCATCGCGAGACTGTGAGCACCATCCGAAGTCTCTGTTGGATTACGAGGCAGAAAAGGGCCCTATTAGGTAGTTAAGTAGGGGTGGTAGGTAGGCAGTCTGGGCCCGTGCAGACGGACCCTTCTACCTACTTATACCTATAGAGGGATCGCGGGCCCTACTTACGATCTTCCCCTCGGATATATATATATAATAAACTTATATTAACTTATTAACTTAGTTATAACTAAAAAGTTTAACTTACTTACGTATATATTAATACTAATTAATAATTAAATTATATATATATTTCTATCGTAAGTTAATAAGGATATAATTATAAAAAAATAGCCTTAACTTATTTTATTAACTATTTTAACTTATTAACTTAGTTTTATCTATTTAACTAATAATAAGTAACTTAGTTTATACTACTTTAACTCTCCTCTATTATTACTAATTAATAACTAGTTAACTACTTATAAGTTATTAAAAACGCGCTTTATTATATATAATTTCTTTTACTAAGGCTATTATTATAAAAAAATTAACTACTTTATTACTATTATTAACCTTACCTCTATTATTAATATTATTTTTATTAGCTTTATTATAATTATTAACTTCCCTCTAATTAAGCTACTTATAAAAAAATCTATTTTAAATATATTATAGCTAAGCGCTACCTTAAACTAATAATAAATAAAAAAAGATTAACTACTAAGAGATTAATTTAATAATTATTAATAAGCTAACGCTTAGTAATAATAAGACCTTTAGAATTATAAATATGTTAATAGCGAAGTATTTTTTTATAAATAGCGAAATATTCCGAGATATTAAGAAAAAAAAAAGATCTTAATAGTAATAATAATAAGGATCTATTTTATATTACTAATAAATCTACCTCTTTTTAACTTAATAAAAGCTCCAAAACTAAATTATTAAAAACAAAGTATAAAAAGTACTAAAAAGAATTACTAATTAGTAACTAATAGAATCCTTTATTTATTACTAAAAGTATAATTATAAAAAGCTTTTTTTTTTTTATAACCTTTTACTAACTTTAATAACCTTCTATCTATATACCTCGTTAAAAGAACAGAATTTTCTAACTAATAATAATAGCCCGCTTACTACTATTAAAACGATTATTATAACTAACCTATTACTTATTTTAACCTAATTAACGTTATATTATAATTAAAATACTATAATTATTTTTTATTATATAACTTACTTTACGAATATATTATAATAACTACTAGCCCTAGTAATAAATAAAAAGGGGCTAATAATTAGTTAATATTACTTTAGACCTATTTATATTTTTAAATTATAAAACTATACCTAATTCTAACTCGCTAATAGGACTACGTTAACTTAACTTAATAGGGCTTATTTAATATTATACTTACCTTTATAAATAATAAAAAGCTTAATACTTTTATTTTTTTTATAATAAAATCTTATTATTAAGACAGTTTAATAAGTAAAAAGCTATAAAAAAACTTTAAAACCGACTTTAATAATTAAAAAGTAGGGGACTTTTTAAAAATAAAAAGTACGATTTTTAAAAAGCTAAGAGACTTTTTTATAAATAATAATATTAACTTAATAATTAGGAACCGTAATTAAATAATAAATAAGATTACTAATACCCTTAATACTTAGTACTTCTTTACTTAGACCTCTAAGGAGATTATAGCTTATTAAAGCCGTACTAAATATTTTAATATATTATATTATAATCTTTACTTTTTCTATTTATTACTCTCGTAATTAATAAATACTAACGATTTTATTTAACGAGCTAAAGAAATAATAAGGGAGTTTACGTAACCCTAACTAGCTTAATTAAAATAAATAAGGCTATGACCTTAGTTTTATTACTAACTAACTAACTTACCGCCCTTTTAAAAAAAAAAAAAAAAAAAAAAAATAAAGTTATTATTACTTAATAGTAAAATCTATCCTATTAAATATTATACTTTAATATAAAAACTAAAAATAATATTATACTTAATATTTATTAATTAATTAACCTTACTAAGCTCTATAATAATAAGAATAAGTATAATAATAAGAAGTACGATATTTTTAATAAAAAGCTTCGGATTTTTAAAGTACTATACTAATGGGTAAGAATTAGTAAATAATACTATTTTAATATTTTCCTAAATATACTTAAGAAAAGGGTATTAACCTTCTACTTTAACTAACTTAATAATATTTCTAGCCCGCTTAGTTTTAATATAATATACTAAAGGACCTAGGAATATTTTAAACTACTTACGAGTTATTAAAACTACTTTACTAAGCTCTATAACCTTTATTAATACTCTATAGTTTATAAAAATCTAAGTAAATTAAACTAATAGATCCTATAAGCGCTTATTAACCATATTATAATTCTTTATAAAGCGCTAATTATATAAGGATTTATTTTTAATATAAGTAACTAACTCCTTTATTACGTAAGTAGTATACTAAAATATAAACTTACTATACTTAACTTAGTACTTACGTTTATTAATATTTATTACTAACTTAGTACTTTAATTAATATTATAAAAAGAGAATATAACCGTAATAAGTAATAGTAGTATTTATATAATAGTACTTATAATAAAGAGGTCCCCGCTACTTACTAAACTAACCGTACTTATAATAGCTTTAATAAAGAAACCTAATTTAATAAATAAAATTAACGCGGCCGCGGTATTATTAATAAAAAGTACTTTATTTATTATAAAACTAGCTATTAATTAACTAAGTACTTAGAAAAAGAGCGATATTAAGTATATTAGAAATATAAAAATAATAAAAAAAAAATAAGAGATTTATACTAAGCTTATACTTATAATTCCTTATTTTTTATAAGAGAACCGCCCCTATTAATAATAATAAAAATAATAATACTATAATCTAATACTTTAATAACCTCGATTTTAATTATAAAAATAATTACGAAGACGAAGTCTAGATCTTAATAATATACTTTATAATTATTACTAATAGTAAAACTTTTATAAATATTCTCGCTACCTAAGTAATAAAGTATAGCCTTACTAATATTATTTTTATTAATAAGTTAACTAAGCCTATAGAACTAATAACCTCTTTTTTATTAAACGGGAGGTACTTATTAGGGGACTTTTAAAGTATTATACTTAATACTAATATTACAAAATTCTTAACTACGGGCTACCCTTAACTCCTCGTATTATAATAATAATAACCCGAAATTACTCTTAATACCTTTAGAACTAATAAAATAAGTATTCAATTTAATAATAATAAACCCGTAAAGTCGTTAAAATCTATAATTATTAATACCCTATTTAGTAATATTACTTTTTATATTTTACTAACTAATACTCCTTTTTTATACTACTTAAGGGATATAAATAAGCTAAGAATATACTTTAATAATATTAATAACTTATTAGTTAAAAGAGATATTATAGTATTTATTATTTATAAATAAAAATACCCTTAGCTTTTACTCCTTAATAATAAAAAAGTTATTATTAATTATTTAATAAAGAGTAAATTACGCCGTTTATATTAGCGCTTTAGCTACTCTTTAGTTCTTTATCTCTTAAAGTTACTT